GCTACTAGCCGCAAGGTCAGCAGTTTGAAACCACCCGGAGCTTCTTCAGGAAAAAGACTAGGCTTTCTGCTCCCATAAAGACTTATATCTCGAGCTATCCCAGAAGAAACTGAAGAAGCAAAAACTTAAGGCTCAGGAGTAAATTATGCTTAAAATAAAAGTTTTAAAAAGTTACACCTCAGAAACCCACAGAGGCAGTTCTACCCTGTCCGTTAGGGCCACTACGAGTCAGAGCTGAACCAAGTCGGTGGCACCGCGTTTGTTTTTTCAAGCTAGACATAAAAGTCAATTTCAGAGTCTATAGTCCCACAAAAAGGCAAAAAACAATAAGATATATAGATGAAGGGTTAGGCTGTTCTATCTGGCAGGAAAAGAACCTTTGAGATTTAAAAGCCTTTTTTTCAACAGGTACAAGAGCACAACGTAGTTTACCCAAGAAGGTGGATCTGTCAGAAGTTGGTGGATATTCTTAGTCTCCCAAGTCACTGGAGTAAAATAAAAACCAGCAGAACGAGGCCCCCATTGCTTTGGAGTAATGAACCTTAAATGTCTTCCTGAGCTATTACTGGACTGAGAAAGAGAAGGTAGCAGAAGAATACAGCTCAAAGGATTTCCCTGTAGATAGAAATCGTCGCTGTACCTCAGTCACAAATAAGTGACTTAAGCTACAGTCACTTTTTCCTCCATTGCAGGAGTTTCCAACCAATCTAGTGTCCTCATAATGGCTTCAGGCCCAAGCCCTGGTAGCCCCAAGGCTAGTAAACCAGTACCCTCAGGCGAGAACACCCCTAAGGCTTGCCCTGGGATGTTCAGGTAGCTTCATGCGAAGGCAGCTACAGACGTGGGCAGTGGGGATACCGCAGAGGGCCTAGGGCTCAGGAGGAGGCTGGGCTAGTGCTGGCTTGAGACCTGAGGGGAAACCTGGGGTTGGCAAGAAGGGCTACCTGAAAAGAGCTTCATTCGCTTGTGAAAGAGGTGCATCTCTTTCCATCTGTGTAGAGGAGGGTGGATACTAGGGGAATTCCTTGCAGATGTTGTAATACCCAGGTGTAGTTAAGGAGCTGGAGACTAGATACTTGTCTCCAACTCATGACTGTGGAACTACTCTGTGGGTGTAAAACAAAGGGTTTATATATAGCAATAGTAGGGATGAGGTCATTTATGGTGGCTTTGAATTGGACATGAGGTTTGATGCGAGCATGATGGTTACCTGGCAACAAGTGAAGAGTTACTTCCTTTTCTGTTACTTCTTTGTCGTTGGTGTGGATTTCCTATAAGAGAAGAGCAAAAGGCGCTATTTTTAAAGGGTCAGAAGAAATAACATAAAGCCATGCTTTCAGAGTGTGTTTGTTAGTTTAACTATATACCAGTAGTTACTTTTTTAGTTTTTAACTAAAGGAAAACCAAAAATTCCAACAAGTTAGAGACGTTAAATGTATTAAATTAATTATGTAGGACCGGTGCCGACCAGTCCCACCTAATGGAACAGGGTGAAGTATCACACCTGGAGACAGGACCGTGGACTAAAGTAATGGGGTGAGCGAGCACACAGCACACGCCCATTCTTCCTTCAGAATCGAGGGGAGGAAGCAAAAGAAGAGCGTCCTCCGGACAGAGAACGAACACAGGTAAAGCACTCGAAGGCATGAACCGGAAAAAAAAAAGTATCATTTCAACACGATGCAGATTTAGTGGCGACGGCTCTGAAAATTGCACATTGTCTGAAAGCACAAGACTGAGTGTCACGGGGTGCACTCACTTCTAACAGGGATTGGGACCAGGTTCTCAGGGAAAGCATCTTCAACTACCTATTTTACGTTCAGTGTTTATGGAAAAAGATTGGCAATCTTCACCACATTAATGTGTACCTTTTATCACTGACGATGCAAAGGCATTCAGTTGCATGGATTAGAACAAATTATGGATACCATTATGGGGAATGGGAATTCCAGAACACCTCATCGTAAGCCTGTAGAACCTGCAAAATTCTGACTGAAAGGTGGCATTCAGAGAAATCTGGCCACAGCAGAGGCAGGGAGAGACAGACAGCCGGTCTTGAGGCTGAAGGTGAAGGCTATGGCTTTCTCAAAGCTTCTGTTTGGGGCATGGGTCTCTCTTGGAGAGGACTAACTTCCATCTGGAGAGATGCCCACAAACCAAGCCCTTCTGAGGCCCTGGCCCTCAAAGGGGGTGGGGGTGGGGAGTGGTGTCAGCACCATCTGGGGAGCCTGTGACCTGGGGCCTGAGCACTCATCTGAAGAAACTGTGTGGCAATGCGCTGGGGGCTTATACATAGCATCCAGACGCTTCCAATGCATTACCCAGTATCCTCATGCATTATTCAGCAGTTTATGCAAGGCAGGGATCAGGTTACACAGGGAAATTCTATGCGTGATCTGGTAATTTAAAAATTCTCACTGTTTGCATTTTCTTTCCCCGTCATCTGTCACTGGCTATGAGCGAATCTGAAGAACAATTATTTTTGACAGCTTCTATCACCCTCTTCTGAGGAGGGCGAAGCTATTCATTAAATCTAATCAAGTGTTAGACAACTTGACTGGTGCGGGGAGCCAGCTCCAATGGAGGAGACATGCATCCGGTAATGGCAGCATCACGGAGACGGGTGTTTATACGACCTGCCAGTAATTGCTGAAATGGTTAGTGGCAAAGGCTAATAGTTTTCTCTGTTCACAGAGTCAAAAGGATTAACATGAAGCCAAGCTTTTAGAATACACACTAAAACATTATTTACCATTCAGGTTTGTTTACTTGACAGAGTACTTCCTTCCCCCTGTAGGTTCTATAAACAAATCAATCAGGAGACATCTTTTAGAATTCTGCCCTCCCCAAATTCCCTGAACGGGCTTCCTGCTCCCCCAACCCTGCTGGGATGCCCCACCCTCCCAACTGAATTGCACAGGGAAGGAAGGGATGGTTGCCCCACAACTGGCCGTGGGCTTTCTCCACTCCATCAATGCAGCCCAGGAGCCCAGGAGCTACGAGGGCTGGCTGCTTAGACGACATATTGTAAGTGGGGCCGCAGAGCGGAGTGGGAGAAGCAGAGAAAGCTGTTCTTCAGAGAAGAGGCCCAGAACGGGGGTACCGTGAGAGAAGAGCTCAGGCATGCAAGAGTAAAGGCCTGGACTCCAACCAGCTTCCCAGGGCTCCGTGAGCTCCAGTCAGGCCCCCGCCCATGAGCTACACAGGTATGCTGATAATGCATTCCCTCGTGGAGATGCGCGAGTTACAGGGGGTTTCTGTTCACACCCACCAAGGGGTCAACTGAATGGATAGCAGAGTCATCTCCTCCAACACGTCACAGGACAATCCTGGGCCATAGGATCAGGAACCAGTAGCAGAGCCATCTCCTCACTGTCTCAGGTGGCAAGGAAGTGTCGCAGGCTGGACACAGGGCAGCCACTGCCTCCGGTGTGTGGGATTTAGGAGGGGTAAGGATGTTTGACGTCACCAAGCAGGAAAGCCTCTGAGGATGTTGTCCTTATTCGGCGAATGAGCACACCCCTGGAACCTCTCTGGGTGTAGAAAACAAACAACCACTGCCACACCCCACCCCAGGTAAAGTCAAAAGTGGTTTTACAAACAATAACCAAAAGCCCAAAGATCATTCTTAGCCTGTTTGCCTCCAAACACACACTGCATCGACAAGGACAAGTCAAGAAGCACTGCTGCTAGGCTAATTCATCACGTACAGGTTGACGCTACACGGAGCATGCTGAAACACAGCTCTGTCATCAGTGGATGACGGCAAACAAGCTCTCTCAGTCTCAGGGTGCGGGGGGTAGGGGGGAGGTAGTATTGAAAACAGCGGCTTAAAATGTCCCGGAATCTGCCGAGCTAGCTCAATTCAAGGCAGAGAGGTCAGCTCAGAACCTATGACAGTTGCTGTTTGGGATTCCAAAGGGTCTCATCTTGATAATTTTTTCAAAGGACAGAAAAAGATCGTCGAAGTTTATTATGAGTTTTTAAATTGGAAAACAGCCTTGGTGAGGGGGGCGGGAAGGCTAGGAGCTCTGATCTGAGAAATCTTTTTCTGCATCAGGACAACGCACCTGGTCTAGGGCAGTACAGGCTATCCTATGAGAATTTCCCTGGGAACTACTTCGTTCACCATACACCCTGACCTTGTTCCGCAGATCCCTCTGTTGTCCAAGCTCAGAAAACACTGAAAAGGAGCATGGCGTGCATGCGTTCCTCAAGGTCGTGGTGCGCACGGAAGAGCACAGCACGCTTCAGGGGAGGGTCTGGACCCAGATGGAGGACATGCCACAGAGAGATCATTTCTGGGGGCATGCGGGGGCGGGGGAGTCAAGAAGGAAGAAAGATGATTGCGGCGATAATCGCATGACTCTTCCTTTACGACTGAACCACTGAATTGCATGGTATGTTTATTTTGGCTCAATAAAAACATTTTTAAAACCCCCTAATCTCACAATCTGATGTTTTTATTTAATAACGTTTCTATGATTTTGTAGCAATCCTTTTTTTTAAGGTTTTGTTTTTAATCGTTTTATTAGGGGCTCATACAACATTTATCACAATCCATACACACATCAACTGTGTAATGCACATTTGTACATTCCTTGCCCTCATCGTTCCCAAAACATTTGCTCGTAACAATACTTTTTAGGGTGGGTCCTAAAAAGTAAAATCTCCGATTTCGGACTGAGCTCCCACTCAGAGTGCACGTCTTGTTCAGACTCTGATGGGCTTGAGGCAGCTAGGAAAGGCACAAGAGGGGTGGCTCGCCAGAAAGACCAAAGACCTGAGAAGAATCAGGTAGGGGTTCTAGACCAAAGCTCCCATAGGTCAAACATTTGTAAATGCTCACACCAGCTTCCACTCCTCACAACATCTGGAGTTCAAAACAGAAGTTCTTAGTTTAACTGCACACCATCTCGGGGCACATTCTAAGAGGCAGTTTCGCTACAGATGCCAAAACACAACTTGTTTTCATCTCAGCTGGCACCAAACTGCTTCAAGGACACAGTAAGTATACAGACGTTGTTCCCCTCAAAGTTGGCCTATTTCTCTAAAATTGGTATTTCAAGCCCTAGTTTTTTTTTCCCACTGAAATATAAAATTTGAAAGAGAATAATGAATTTGCACTCACAGTTTAGGTGGGAATCCATCCATGTGTACCTTAAAACACAATTTGCCTCTTTTAAAGCAGCAAGTTCTTTTTCTAAGTATAGCACAGTCTGAATATTTAAAACCTGTCTCTCCCCATGTCTTTTCAAACTCTTAGGTACTACACATAAAAATAACTCAGACTCGCATCCACACTCAAATCCCAGCTCATCATGTCCTCTGCAAAATGGAAATAATTCCCAATATGAAGGCCGTAAGAAAAGGCTGGGGGTCTGCCCCCATGAAGATTACAGCCAAGAAGACCCTATGGGGCTGGGGCAGCTCTGAGCCGGAGCAGACGCGAGGGCATCTGACAATCACAGCAACAAGACAACCAGTGGAAGTGCCTGGCAGATGCGCTCGGTCAACAGGAAATGCTGTCCTTAGTGGACACTGCAATATCTGTGCCTCTTCTCGATGCTTTTTCTGTACTTCTCCTTTCCTTTGGTGAATGAACATAGATCTGAAACACACTTCTGAAAAGCTGCAATTATTCAAGATCCTATCACATCAAGTACAACAATTTCTGCTTCTCTTTCAGTCCGGTTCCCCATAGGAGGGCTCCGGAGGGCTCTCGATTCTGTCTGTGTGGACGGTGAACTCCTAAGACTAGCAACTTCCAAGTTGGCGCTGTGCTATCTCTGGGTGGTGTCCTCAGCTGCTAACTGGAGCCTGGAAGGTTTGGGCTTCACACAGAGGCGCCTTGGAAAAGGCACTATTTACTTTGGGAGAATGGGCCTTGAAAACTCTGTAGACTAGAGCACACTTCTGACACACACCAGGTCCCGGACCCCCTGAGTTGGGACAGCAGCTAGCTTCAAATGGGCCCTAATCTCCTCAGATCTGTACTACCTCAAGCCCCCGGGGGCAAAGGATGGCTCCTCCCTCCTCCTGGCCCCTAGTAATAGGGCTTGTTTTCTAGAGAGCCACAGTAATTTAGGTCTGGCCATATTGTGGCTTCTCTTTTGCAGTAGAAAGTGACCCCACTTCAACTAGTGGTTTGCCGACGTGACCAAGAGCAAGGGGCTGCTCAGGCGTGTCGCAGCGAGAAAACCTGTCTGCTGGCTGTTCTGAAAGTAGACTGAGTTGCTTGAAGTTGGCAAATGGAGATTAAAAATCTCCATTTAAGGAGTTTAAGGAATCGTGTTATATACTCAATGACTGCCACTCTCACCTTTCCCTTTAAAAATTTAAATATTCGATTATAAATACCCAGCTTTCACACTACCACCTCTCTTAACCACGTCGGCCGCCATTCCAATCAAAACACGTGCCAGTCTAGCTCGGAGGGCGCCAGTCAGTCAGGGTATGCGCAGGGGGATCGTAAAGACACGCACCCTCAGAACTTTCTCGCTGAATCTCTTCTTTTGTTTGGTTTTGGAAGTTGTCTTTTTGGGTGGGGTTTGGAGGGCAGAGAGAGTGGAGATTCTCCTTGGCAATGGTCTCTTGTTCCTTCCACCTCCATGTTCACCACTGCTTTTCAACTCCGAGCACAAAGCATTAATTACTAATGGCGGCAACTGAGGTGTAGTCAAATGCACATGGCCCTTGTAGCCATAATTCCTCATGGGATGCATTCTAATTTTGGACTCTGCCCGTGGCTCTTGTCCCAGTTTGGAGGGTGCGCTCTGTTACGGAATTAAGGTGGGGTTTGATCTTGACCTTATTAAAGGGTGTGAACCAAGTCACACTCTCTGTTTCCTGGGGGTGGGGTGGGGGGACATCTTTAAAGGCTCTTTTTTTTTTTCACTGGAGGGTGTGACTAAGCCACCACCCTGCAACCCTGCAATTTCCTGAGGGTATGGTCAGCAAAAACACCAAAACCGCACCTCCACAAGAGCCATTCCTCGTCTGTAAGGGCCAGCTGGGGCACACGGACCCGCCAGGATCATTGGGAAGAGCACATCCAAGAGCTGTCTGAGGTGATGGTGGTCACCGAGACCAGACGCACCGACACTGTGACTCAGAGGAGCATCGCTAAGACTGGGGGGTACCTTTCCCTCACTTGGCCCGAGACCATGGGACTGTGAGACAGAGCGCCAGGTGAGCTGACTTCCCAGTTCCCAGAGACAGAAGCCAAGGAACCACATGGCTGGGAGACTTCACTTCTGTGGACCCAGGACTGTATCCTTTCTATTTAGTGACCCTGGCTTATGCTAACCTGCTAGCTTCCCTAATAAACCCCTCCGCTGTGAGTAATCTCTGTGAGTTCTACGTGGCCCTTGCAGTAGATTATCAAACCCAGTAGAAGGCCTTGGGAGGAAGGGTTGGTGTCAGAATCAGGTAAAAGAGGCTGGAAGGAGAAGACAAACCTGAGCCTGTGGCAGTAAGGAAGCCAGAGGAGGTCAGATATATCCTGCCCCATGCCGTTTACTATAGAAACAGCATTTCAATATTTTTAGTAACATTTTATATGTGTTGACCCCAGGCAAGTGAGCAGAGCTGAACCGAGGGGGTGAACAGGACTCCCTACCAGAGTGCAAGAGTGGACTTGTACTGTGTGTGCATGGTCCTAGATGTGGATCTCAAAGTGGGCTGTACTGCAACACCAAGTGCCCTTAGGTCCGCCCTACTGACTGCTGACTCGGGGCTGCTCTGAGTTGGAATCGACTCAGTGGCAGTGAGTGTGGTTTTGGGTTTACTCAGTG